GTTCAAATCAATTCTTGGTTAGTGCTCAGTTTTAAGTGGACAAAAACTTTATACCAGAATAATTTTAGGTATATTACAGTCCTTTTTGCATTTTCTAAAAGCTAAAGATATAAATAGTTTCCTGAAATAACACCAAAATCAATTTCCCATGAGAACTCGAGAAAATGAGAAAATGAAAGTTCAGAGAAATTGTGCAAACACAGGTAAAATTCATATGAACTTCACGACATTTGGTGTTGTTAGAAATGATTCCTTTAGAGAAGATATTTAAAACAGTCGCACAGAAGTTTGCAATAAAATGTAGATAATCTTGGCAGAAAGTTTTTGTCCACTTGTTTCTCGAACTTCTGGCGGATTCCCTCTTAAGGTATTCCACTGCTTTTACATTCGTGGCGGCTACAATCTTGCACGCGCATTTTGTTTTCGAAACGCGTGTGTTTCGTTTTGTTGACGCGCGCCGCAACTATAAAATAAACGAACTACCACTTGAAGACTTGAACGGTTAAGAAACGGTTCGATTGATAAGTCAGTTACAGTGATCCTAGCAGACATTTGGTCCTGTATAAGAGCCTTGAGTACAGATAAGTGGCAAAGAAAAATAGATTTTTTCACCTTTCAATGGAGATCAACGAATCTCCAGTTGTTTTTCAGGACGTAATATCGAAGTACAAAACGACAAGAGACTTTACAGAGGCATGCGCGTATTGCTTAATACCTCTTGCACCAAGCTACGACAACAAGTCACTGCTACTTTGCGAAGAATGTGAAGGAAAATGGCGCGAAGAAAAACGACCTGTACAAGATTCCGACGATCCAGAAACACCCTTGAGCTCGGCAAATATCAGCTTGACTTTGGGCGACGCCGGCGATACCGAAAACTACGCTCCTAGACAATTTGATAAAGAAAACGACCTACAGAGACTATTTCTGCACGTTGAAAAGGAACTTACAAGGGAAGATTTAAGCCACGGGATGTTAAATACAAGCGAATCTCTTTCAAGAAGCAGGATTATCGAAATTGTGAAACGCGTATTGAAGACATGTGGTTATGTTGTAGCAGGAGTGATTGGTGTTCCCCTAATTGCAGGTAAACTTAATTTATGCCTTAGATTTCTTTTTCCTTCAATTATTGATTTTCGTTAAAAGTGGTCTTGTTTAGGATATGGATTCTTAGATAATCGTTATGAAACAGTTCAGTAAAGTTTCGGCATTCGTTCATACCTTCAGCAGCACAGCGAAGGAATTTTGTTAATAATTTCCTCAGCCTAACGTAGGCAGAAAAATCGGAATCGCTTTCAAACTATTTCGTGAAGGTAATCTCTTTGTTGTGGATAAACAGTTTCAAAAAAAAAA